GACCTCTGAACAGTTCAATGTCCCGCTTCATTGTAGGATTTCTGCCCTGTCTCTACCACTTTAGTTTGACCATCTCTGTTCCTAAGTTATGGAATACTAAATAAATAAGTAATTAGATACCTTACCGTTACTTCGCTCATAAAGAATGATAAGAATAAGAATAATGCGCATTGAACTGGTTTAGTTAATTAGTGAGTTTATTTAAGGTAATTAGTTAGAAGCCCTATGTTATCAGTATGTCTGCACAGCGGTTACAATGGTCAAACTACATTAGAACAGAATTGTCCCCATTTTGTATTTAATGGTTACTAACACTAGATATTTTAATGAGATATGGACCGCAAAACAAAAAATGTCCGGGGTTTTCATTTTTAAAATCAAGTCACCAAATGCAAGTCGCCTTAGCTTATTTTGCTATGAGATGTGAATTACTGTTCAATTATTGATGTAATAATCGTTTGGTTTCTTTACATTAAAGTTACAACTTTCAAAAGGTCTTTTTATCGGGGGGAGGCCCTTTTTCCAGTTTAGAGCAATAGCCCCTCCAAATGTCTGTGCATGTTCCTGCTTCTGGGGCTCGGGCTGGTTCCGCGGACCTCCGTAGGCCAGGCGGGATCCCAAGAACGAATCAAGGGCAGAAGCAGATGAAGCAGATAGGCCTGGAGTTGTGGAAGGTCGGCAACCAGGAGTGCTGGCAGGCCGGTAGTTAGCATGCTTCCGGCTAGCAGACTGGGAATCGCATGTCTGAAGGAAGTCCTTAGTCCAGCCAGGTAAGAACTTCAAAAACCCTGGTTTTTCTGTTGCCTCCTGGTGCGCCTCAGCCAGAGCAGCCCCTCTCTGCTCAGCACTGGACGCTCCCCTCCACTTACCATAGCAGAAAGCCAACGTATAGGCAAAGTTTCTATCTGCTGGGCCCATTCTTGGTTCGGTCGTTCTCTCAGGAATGGGGAAAATCAGGACCCAAAATGCAGAAGGGGTTCAAAGTGTAACAAAAAGCAAGCTTTATTTAACAAAAAGCTGTTGACGATGAACAAACAAGAAAAAACCTAAAATCCTTAAACAGGTAGAACAAAACCATGACAGAACAGACAAAACTAAAATCATGGCATTCTATCTCTCAGGTGTGAGCTCAGGTGTGTCCTCTGTCCCTCAGGTGTGTCCTCTGTCTCTCAGGTGTGTCCTCTCTCCCCAGGTGTGTGGCTGAACGACCTGGTGCAGGTAGCAGCTCATGAGATTGGTCACGCTCTGGGGCTGTGGCACTCTAGAGACCCGCAGGCTCTGATGCACCCGAACGCCACATCCACCGGGCAGAGGAACGTGGCTCAGGACGACGTGTGGGGCATCCGGAGGCTCTACGGTGACTTCCTGCTGCCTTCACAATAAAAGCTCAGAGACACAGGGTGGGGTTACACATCTGAAGTGTATATATATATATATATAACACCCTGATCTTCTCTTCTGTTTCTTCTTCCTGCAGGCTGTCTGGATAAGAAGAGGGTGTGTGAGCCGTGGGCTCGGCTGGGTTTCTGCGAGCGGCGGAGGACGTTCATGAAGAAGAACTGTCCTCAGCGCTGTGACCTGTGCTACGGTGAGATCCTTTTTACACAGGAAGTGACCCTCCTCACTTTCTTTCCGACCCATGGATGTAAAATAAGAACTGGATACAGCGTTGGAGGCGGGGCTTGTTCATTCCTATGAGAGCTGCTCATTGGCTCATGAGAACAAAATGGCCTGAGATTTTGGAGAGCAAAACATCACAGATTACTCATCATGCCTTGCTGTCAGAGCAGAAGTGCCCGCTCATAGAGTTGAGTTTCCCCTTAAGCCCCGCCTCCTGTCGTTAAGCACCGCCCCCGATCCCCTGCTCTCGGCTCAGAATGAGAGAGAAAATAAATCTGGATTCGGCTTTTAGTGCATTTTATAACTTTAAGGACCGAATGATTCTAATAAGGGCTTTCACAGAGTTCATACTGGGTAGTTCATTTAGTTTAAAAAAAATGATCCTCTGATTTACAGACGTCTCTTTCCCAATGATAGTCTATAGAGCGGTGGAGGGATGACGTATTTACCCAGAAGGAAGCTGCTGGTTCCCTCCACTAAAGGGTTTTCTCCAGGATTTAGGAATATTGTAAGAAATAAGGTCCGTGGAAAATGAACCTGTTTGATAGATCACGTTTTGTTCAGCCGGATCATCTCCACATGTCTACTTTTATAATGTTCTAATCATAAATCTAATGTCCAGCATATTCAAACATACAGATTCTAAATTGAAGCGTTTGTTTGAACAGTTTGCAGGAGGCAGGTACTTGCTCTCAAGCAGAACAGAAACTAACTTAGAGGAGTGTTTACGTGTTCGGCGTAATGACGTACAACGGCCTCCACGACTTCTGTAGTCCTATTCAGCCACTTGGTAACAACCATCGTTTTTCAGACACGTAAACTCTTCAGAGATCACCAGTGGGGTCACTGCTGATGATTTAATGTCCTAGAACAAAACGTGATCTGTCTCTTCAATGTGTCTCAACCACAGACCTTATTTCAGATATCTTCCTAAACCCTTTGGAGATATCCCATTGGACGAGGGAACAGGAAGTGGTGAAATGCTAACTCACTTCCAGGTTTTAGGACTCATTCCTGCACCACAAAAAGTATTTCTGTCCCAGTGACGTCACGGACTGATACGGAAATTGTAGTACTGCCGTTTGGCCACTAGGAATATTTTCCTCAGAGACCGGAGCACTTCCTGGGGGCTTGGTCTGACCCTCCTCACTTCCTGTCTGACCCTCCTCACTTCCTGTCTGTAGAGCCAGTGGAGGATATTTCCACGCCGGCGCCGCCCGCCAACGTGAAGATTAAAATGGTTCCCCGAGGGAAGGTGGTGGGTTTCCGCTGTGGAAACAAAAACCTCCGAACTCCACCCAAAGTCAGGTAGGTCGTCTCACAGACTTCTCTACAATCTGAGGTAATAAAGAGAGTGAGAAGTACTTTTTGTTTCTCAGAGTTGTCGTGTTTACTCAGTATTCAGGCGGTTCCTGAACGTCTCTTTCCTTCCTGTCTCAGCTGGTACAAAGACAACGAGCAGATCCTGTCCTCTGTCCCCGGCTACATCATGATGAAGGACCGAGACCTCCGCATCGTGGCTAACGAGTTTAACGAGGGCGTGTACACCTGCCGGATCCACCGGCGCGGCGAAGTCGTCTCAGCCAACTCCTGGTTAATCCGGCTGAAACCAGAGCAGCCGTCCAACAGCTGAGGACGTCCGGGGGACGGAGGACAAAACAAAGAGAAGCTTTGACATCAGAAGAGCAGAAAATCACATTCTGTCCCAGAGGGGGGTCTGGACCTCTGCAGGTGTGCTCTGTGGGAACAGGACCTCATTCCCCTGTAGAAAGAGACGTGTGATGTCCTTATAAGCCCTGTGTCCTCTAAAGGTCCTGGTAGGACGTCATGTGTCTGCTGTCGTCATCTACATCTCGTTGAGACGTCGTGTCCTCGCTAACATCTCGTTGAGACGTCGTGTCCTCTCTGACCTCTCGTTGAGACGTCGTGTCCTCTCTAACCTCTCGTTGAGACGTCGTGTCCTCTCTAACCTCTCGTTGAGACGTCGTGTCCTCTCTGACCTCTCGTTGAGACATCGTGTCCTCTCTAACCTCTCGTTGAGACGTCGTGTCCTCTCTAACCTCTCGTTGAGACGTCGTGTCCTCTCTGACCTCTCGTTGAGACGTCGTGTCCTCTCTAACCTCTCGTTGAGACGTGTCCTCTCTGACCTCTCGTTGAGACGTCGTGTCCTCTCTGACCTCTCGTTGAGACGTGTGTCTCTGACCTCTCGTTGAGACGTGTCCTCTCTGACCTCTCGTTGAGACGTGTCCTCTCTGACCTCTTGTTGAGAC